TTATGAAAAATGTTGGGCTGAAGTGAAAAAGATTTAGAAATTTGGTCAAATTTGAAGCTTTCACTGCTAGGCCGTATTGCTGCGATAAAAATGAATGTATTGCCTAGAATGTTGTTTTTGTTTCAAACATTGCAAATTTTGGACAAAATGGATTGCTTCAAGAAGTGGCAGAGAGATATCTCTAGATTTGTCTGGCAGGGCAAGAAGCCCAGAATAAAATTTAAAATACTAACGGATGCAAAGGAAAGAGGTGGATTTGCCCTGCCAGACCTTAAACTTTATTATGAATCAGCAGCTTTTTGCTGGCTGAAAGAATGGCTGCTTCTTGAAAACACATTTTGGACTTAGAAGGTTTTAATAATGTATTTGGATGGCATGCATATTTGTGGTATGATAAGGTCAAAGCGCATAAAGCATTTAAAAATCATATTGTCAGGAAAGCATTGTTTAATGTCTGGATAAGATATAAGGATCTATTGGAAAATAAAACCCCAAGGTGGCTGTCACCGATGGAAGCGAAAGCACAGAAAAAGCTCAATATGGAGGCCAAATGGCCGAAATATTGGGAAATTCTGGAACAAGAGGGAGATAGATTGAAACTGCAGAGTTTTGAGAAACTAAAAACAAAGTGCGAGATTGGCTTCATTATTATCAGATAATGGAGGCATACAATTTGGACAAGAAAATTGGCTTCCAGGTGGAAAAATCAAAATTAGAAACAGAACTGTTAGAACCCAAAACTAAGATTTTGTCAAAGATGTATAACTTGCTGTTGAAATGGAATACTCAGGATGAAACGGTGAAATCTGCTATGATTAAATGGGCACAAGATGTTGGACATAACATAATGATGGCTGACTGGGAACAGTTATGGATCACAGGTATGAAGTTTACGGCATGTAATGCCTTACGAGAGAATATTATGAAAATGATATACAGGTGGTACATGACACCAGTCAAGCTTGTAAAAATCTATCATTTGCCCGATAATAAATGTTGGAAATGTAGAGAAACTGAAGGTACATTCTTTCACCTTTGGTGGATGTGCCCAAGGATTAAGGCTTTCTGGGAGATGATTTATAATGAAATGAAAAAGGTATTTAAATATACCTTCTTGAAGAAACCAGAGGCCTTCCTCCTGGGCATAGTCGGCCAATTGGTGCCAAAGAAGGACAGAACTTTCTTTATGTATGCCACAACAGCAGCAAGAATACTTATTGCAAAATATTGGAAGACACAAGATTTACCCACCCTGGAAGAATGGCAGATGAAGGTGATGGACTATATGGAATTGGCAGAAATGACTGGCAGAATCCGAGACCAGGGAGAAGAGTCGGTGGAAGAAGATTGGAAGAAATTTAAAGACTATTTACAGAAATACTGCAAAATTAATGAATGTTAGAATGATGTCAGAATGAAGTTAAGTGGTTTTAGCAGCAATGTTATAAAGGTGTATGTAAAAATGGATTGTTAATAGGTGAGAATCCAAAGCTATAATATATTAAGTTAAAGGATTAAGACAAAAACAAAGAGGGAAAGGAATTGCTGAATTAACCAATTGAACTGGAATACAAAAAAGGGAGGTGAGAGGAGGTCAGGGAAGCAAGGAAATGAAATGTAAGGTACGGAAAGATTGATTTGTTTTTAAGTGTTTTTTATCTTTTTTCTGTATTTTGTATTTTTTCTCTTTTTTATTTTTTCTTTTGTTTCTTTTCTTTTTATCTATGTAATCTTTTGTTTTTGAAACCTTAATAAATATCATTTAAAAAAAAATACACATAATGTGCATACAAATTGCTGTGTGCATGCATGAAGGGACATTTCATGAGCCATAACAATCGCCATGACTCAAAGTCACCCTGCTATATATGGGTACAGCCATAGGACTGCAACCCGTTCTTCTGAATTGCATCCAGACTTAAATCTTTTTGTAAAACACTTTGAGGTTTTTCACTATCAAGCAACGTGTAAATTTTATGAAATAAATAAAAACAGCAGCCAAAAATACAACCATTAATGATAAAATGTAAGAGCAGCCCCACTGGACGATGCCAAAAGGTCAATTCAATCCTGCTTTCAACTTCCCACAATGCATACCCATATTCTTCTGGAAGCCCAGAAGTGGAGCTTGAAGGCAGTAGCTATCTTCTTCTGATATTCCTCAGTGGTATACTACTGCCATCTGGAGATTCCGCACAGCCATAGTGGCTGCCATTGGTAGACCTCTCCTCCATATATTTGGTCGACTTCCCTTTTAAATCTATCTAAACAAAGGGCCATCTCCACAACTTGCGGCAGTGAATTAACTAAAACAATGATGCACTGTGAGAAGCGGTCTTCTCTCCTCGCTCCTGGGCCTCCCCAACAAAAACAATCCTGACTCTGTCAAAAACCAGCCCTCATTTGAAAGATATATCCAGTCAGCACAGCTAGATATTTTGGAACACTGTGTTTATGATATTGTACACCGTGTCTGCATTTCAGTGTCATGAAGCCACATAAGATTGTTTGAATATTACTGTATATTCCAAAAGCCATAGGCCTTAAGACTCATTATTGATAATAAATAAATAAAAATCATATCCTTGTTGTAGAAATACATGGTGTTTATTTACTAGCTTGACTTCATTTATTCTTTTGCATTTTCTGATTCTATGGTCAATCCATTTCATTAGCTGAGCACAAGGAATTATATGTGAGAAACTTCTCTTTATCCACTACCTCCATACCATGCATAAAGTTATAGACCTATATTATATAAATAATAATAATAATAATAGTAACAACTTATTTACACCCCGCCCATCTGGCTGGGTTTCCCCAGCCACTCTGTGAGGCTCCCAACAGAATACAGTCATACCTCTTGTTGCGTTTGCTTCACATTGCGGCTTTTCGGGTTGCAAATGCAGCAAACCTGGAAGTGTATATTTTCGGGTTTTGCTGCACGCACATATGCAGAAGCGTTCTGCACACTTCGCACATGCACAGAAGCGCTCTATCACGCTCCGTGCTTGCGCAGAAGCGCCACTCTAGTTGCGGACTTTTCGGGGTGCAAACGGCACCCAGGAACAGATCATGTCTGCAACTAGACGTACCACTGTATTTAAAACACGTTATCTCCTCCCCCCCCCCCGCTCCTGAACTCAGTTATCTTTTGACTAAATGAAAAAGCTCCAAAGAGCAGGAGTATGGCTAAGTACCTAAAAGCAAAGGTCCATGACTCCAATTTCCATTAAAAAATTGCATATGCTACTTTATATCTGTAGGTGTCTATATTAAGAAATTAAGATGGTAAACAGAGGGGTCTCACCAGCACTGCAGTTCATGGTGCACTCAGTTATCCAATCTGCAAAGTTTTTTAAAAAACTAAAGAGAAGGAGTAGGAGACCCAGGGCTCAGGTCTCCTGAGTCACTCCCTAACAATGTTCCTGTGCCAAACATTTGAAGCCCTTTTTCTGGCATTCAGAAAGAACGTATGAGGGATCAAAGTGTGGCAAGCATGCAAGCCTTCCCCACCCTCCAATACATAGATTCATAGACCTATGGGTCAGGGCAATACATTTTGGGTATACAGGCATCCCCCCCCCACTTGCGCGCAACCACATATACATGTGACGCTGGGGCTACCACTGGTGGTGGGCCCGTTCTTATCCCAAGACTTGGGCACCTTTGCCAAGAGAGTTTATTAAAACCTTTTTGAAAGTCCAAGTATATACAATCTAGATACGCCATTTGCCATTTTGCTGTTCAGACTCCACAGATATCCTTCATGTGGGAGGGATAGGAAATTCAGCATTGATGGGAATTTCCTAGTAAAAGCACAGGTCTTCACTTTCTTTGAACTACACTCATCAGGACCTTCGCACATCAAGAGTTATGGATACTACATTCAATAATTATGGCAAAACACATGGTCATTACACACATAGCATGCATACCAAAACATAACCACGGTCTGGGAGGAAGAGGGCTTTTCTGTTTGTTTGTTTGTTTGTTTGTTTGTTTGTTTGTTTATCTGACTTTCAAAAGCCATCAACAGGCAGCAGAACTGCTGATCATCTCATTAAACTGAGAAAAGCTAACAATCCGATAAGGTTTATTTTGCTGAGACTGCATAGCTTTAATGTGCTTTCTTCAAAGTTGTGAGGTGTACAAAAGGTAGAGATAAAAGACAGCTGCTGAATTTTAACTTTCAACAATACTTGTCCTGCTTCCCCCCAAAAAAACCACAAACAATTGTTTTGCTCAATCAATAAACACCCTCCCAATCTTACAAATGCTTTCCTATAGTGAGGACAGCACTACAGTCAAACTAAAGCGCTGCAGGTGTGATGAGACTGAACATCTACCTACTTGAAGGCTGCATTTCCAGGATACTACTTGTGCTTCTTTCCAAATGGAGGAAGCCTTTTCAGTGAAACCAACAAGCTGTAGAAAGTTTTTATTGCAGGTTACTGGAAATGTTCTGATAGACAAGGAGAGTAGTAAGTTATATCATTGCTTTTAATAGCCAAGCAAATATTACTGTTTTACTGCTTGTCTGCAAGTGGGTTCACCCTTGAGGGCAATAAAAATCCCTATAAAAGAAACACAGACTACCTGTCCTCATCTGTGATGTTATTTATGATGTACACTCAATTGAAAGCAGCCTTTAATGTCCCTGCTTTCTAAATAAACGTATCGTCAACACTTGCTAACATCCAGTATATATCACAAGAAGTAGATACCTCTTTCCTGAATTGCTGGGATGAGTTGCAGAATACTCCAGCAAGTTCTGGTTCAGTGCTCCAATTCTCTCTCCTAATAAGTGGTGTGCTGTATCAGGCACTCAAAATCTCCATGGTACTATTTACCGGACAACACCTACAACAGAGTTGACATACGTCTAGTTTCTGCCCGACATGTCCTCTTTCTCAGCATAAAAATTCCTGTCCATAGGATTTTTTAAAGTAGGCAAAATGTCTGTGTTTTTTTATTTACGTCTGGCAACACAGTCTTGCGCCCATAGTTTAGTTGTAGAGTACATGCTTCACATGCAGAAAGACCCAGGTTCAATTTCTGGTAGCGGCAAGCCCTCTCTGAAACTTGGAAGAATCACTGATGGACAGTAGAGACAATGGTTAACTAGGGGTGTGTGTGTGTGTGTGTGTGTGTGTGTGTGTGTGTGATACAGTGATAAGCTATGTAACCTCTTTTTCTTTTCTCCTCCTAAAATGAAGTTTTCAGCTCGGATTATTTTGACATGCTGGGATCACCCAGGAAGGCTGAAGAATGAGAAAGTGTACATGTTTACATTTTGTGTATATGTTTACTTTTGTATAAGGGACGCGGGTGGCGTTGTGGGTTAAACCACAGAGCCTAGGACTTGCCGATCAGAAGGTCGGTGGTTCGAATCCCCACGATGGGGTGAGCTCCCGTTGCTCGGTCCCTGCTCCTTCCAACCTAGCAGTTCAAAAGCACGTCAAAGTGCAAGTAGATAAATAGGTACTGCTCCGGCGGGAAGGTCAACGGCGTTTCCGTGCGCTGCTCTGGTTCGCCAAAAGTGGCTTAGTCATGCTGGCCACATGACCCGGAAACTGTACGCCGGCTCCCTCGGCCAATAAAGCGAAATGAGCGCCGCAACTCCAGAGCGGTCACGACTGGACCTAATGGTCAGGGGTCCCTTTACCTTTACCTTTTTCTCATAGGCATAGGTGGGAATGTGAATTTCTAAAGCCTACATATAGTACGGGTATTTAAAATGAGAGTCGTCGTAGCGAAGTCGGCAAACGTGTTCTCTTTTTCGCTCTTCAAAATATGGCAACCCTAACCTACAATACATTCTAGCTGCAATGCTAGAATGCAGATGAAGCTGAACTCCAACTCCCATCTGCCCTAGTCAGCTTTGTCAATGGTCAGGGATGATAGAAGTCATGGTCCTACAACATGTGGAGGGCACCACGTTGGCTATTCCTGGGATAATACATCACTTTCCCCAGGTATTTCTTCTTGCTCCCCTCCACAGTATTTCTAGATGCAGCACCCTAAAACTCTCCCAGGGGAAGTCAATGAGAGCTGTCAACATCTATGGGAGTGAAAGTGGTAAGACACCAAAGGGCCCTGGAGAAAAGGCCCTTTCTGTATGTGCAACTGCTTATCCTGTACATTGAAAACTGGCACATCAGGGAAAAGCTTTCTCCCCACCGTTCTGGTTTTCACACTCTAAAGTCATGTGAAACCCGCACTTGCCATTTGAAGTGGTACACGCCAGGAACAGGTTTACCATCTCACCTGTCATTTATGACAACTAGGCCCAAGAGATACACTGGAGCGCCATTTATATATGCAGTACTATCGACTTCATAGGGCTGCTGTGAGAAGAGAAAATCTGCAAAGCCCTTCAAACAATGCCGTATGCTAATTTTGTGTTTTGCATATTGTAAATTAATGCTAAATTGTGGTAGTGAGTTGCCCAAGGCCACACAGTGAATCACTTGTTCAGCAGAGATTAGAATTGGCACTTCTCAGTTTTTTAATTATGTCAGATTTCTGTATTCCACCTTTCCATCAAAAACAATCACATGTCTAAGGCCAGCACTGAATCCACTATAAACATTGGTTATTCCACCAATTATGCCTACCCTGAATTCACTCAGTGTAAAAAGCTTGTGGAAGAACCTGCAAAGGTAACACAATTTTGATACTTTCCAGTTTCCCTCAATGTGCCTTTAGTGGAATTTAATGAAATACATTGCATTTTCCAGATGTTAATTACTCCCGCGCCCCCCTTAAGTACCAGTATTTTTCAAGCCCTTATACTCTTCCTTTAACATAGCATTTTTCATCAATTTGATCTTAATGTGAACTGAAATGGTATGACAGCAACCCATTAAAAAAGAGCATCAAACTATGCTCTTCCTTTTAGGTTTTAATCAGGGCAGAACAAAAAAGGAGCACTGTTTTAGCCACTGGGGGTCCTGCTCAAAAGGGTGATATTTTGCAAAATAGTCTCAGTCTACCTTATCAGACTTCTACCAGATATGGAGTCTACAAATGTTATTTGATTCTTTGCCATATCATTTTCTATGCCTTTTGCTGAATGGCTGATTAAATCTACTCCAAGTCCAACACATGAAGGATATTAGATTATTAAAAGTACACTTTCCATCATTTGTAAAGGTTAGACCCAAATTGATTCTAAAGTGACAATGAATAAAGATGACATAGTATTAAATATGCCAATGAAAAGCAGATTCCAGCAGGAGCTCTGTAATTCTATGAATCTAATTTACCACATATTGCCAGTCTAGCACTTAAAAAAATATATCAAAGAGACAAATGAGAATTTTTATGGATTCCGCCTACAAGGCAGGAGGAAGTCCTTTCAAGCCAGTCAGCTAAACCATAGTTCAAGATGCTGGGTGTAAGAGTGCTTTCCTTGTATGAGAAACAAGCGCCTCAGTTTTGAATCTATGTAGTGCCAACATGTGTGGCATTTTACAGAACAGCATGAACAAAAAACACAGGTCTGTACCAAGAAGTTCATGATCAGGGCTGTCACGCATGCGACAATTCTGCAGGAGGAAAAATATGCAACGTGTTCATAACTCAGCTCCTTGAAAACGTCACCTTTCATACATGCAAGACAGTTCCTAACACTTACAGTTGCAACAAATATGCTTGAACATATATGGGTGGGCATTGCCAGCTGAAATCTCGGGGGGGGGCAGCCAAACAATCAGGGGAGAGGCTAAATTAGCCTTCAGTGCTCCATGTTCTTCTCTACTATGAAATTGTACATGTTTATGCAAATAATAATAATATCAAATAAATTGCGTGAAGTCAGAAATTAGGAAAATATACTTGATTTTCATGATTTATACTGACTGTGCTATTCTGCCTTTCTTGGTACAGTATTTGGATTACCTGGGTGCCTCTCCCCGTGCACAACCCACATCACCCCCAAATCTGCGTCAGTGGGTTGGAAGAACCCCCAGAACAAATTAAGAGAGCACACAGGAGGGGAATAGCGTTCTTTTGTGCAAGGGGAAATCTTCATGCTAAGAAGATGTTCCCCTTAGCATGCAGTGATTACACTTTAATCCAATTATGATAAATCTAATGGGCTGGAATTCAGATTATATTGCCACAGTGGTTTCCACTGGCCTTAAACATGGCAGAATTCAGAACTATTTGTCATTCCCTGTCCCCTCTAATTTCAGTATAACGCACTTCGGGGGAAGTGCTCAAAAATATGCTCGAGACCAAGAAGCTGCTTATGGATTTCCAAAAGGCCCTTATGCGGAGATCCACAAAAGAATATTCATTCTTAGTAATAATGTACTCTGCAGGGCAGCTAATGCTCTGTAAAAGTCACTTCATTTGAGCTGGCTTGTCCACAATTGTCCACTGAAAAATACATCTACGTACCAAATCATGTATAGCAATTCTAGCCAATTATATTGAGTCAAGGGGGCAAGAGAATATTAAATTTGTGAAATTGCCTACATTCTACTCAACATTCAAAATATATAAATGCATTTTGCAAAGTCTATTGTTTGCTGCAATTATCCTAGATCTTGAAAAGAATGCATTAGCTTCATGATAAGCTTTGTGGCAATAATGACTGATAATGTAGAAGCTGCAAATGTGTTTAAGAGCACTCATTTGCTTTCTGTAGCAGACTACAATTAACAAGCTGGAGCAATCTGCTTTAAATCTAAAATAAGAAGATAAAAACTTGACTGATCCATGTTTCGGCAGTTCTTAACTGGGATGTGCTGGCCTCCTCGTATTTTTGTATTAACAACCTTGTGCTGTGTCCAACATTTAAAAAGGTATATACAGTATATACTATGGCTAACAAAAATAATTACACAAGAATGAAGAATCTCAACAGGAGTTTTAAATATTTTTTTTTTCAAACTTTACTTCTGCATAGTCTCTCCCTGCAACACAAATATGAAGATGCAACTGCCTAATTAAGCATTTTAAATGCTGAACTGTGAGGTACTCTATTGTTCTAAAATTGTCTTGATGGATTGTGCTTTAGTTGTGTTGCCGCATTTTATTTTGAACTGAATGCCGCGTTGGGATCTAAAAAGATGAAGGCCAGTTTGAAAATAATTTAAATGAATAATAATTCTACAGTATCCTGTGCACTGGGCAGCATCCTGTACAAGGTGACAGGGCCCGCGGCTCTTGCACTAATATACCACAAGCAGCACAGATGTTTCCACATGCAAATGCAAGGCCAGTGCAGCTGTGCTCCGTAAGGCCTTCCACAACAGAGAAGTAGCGGATGAGGGCAACACACTGTAGGATCAAGTATAGGAAGAGAGAGGCAAGGCTATCAACAGAACAAACTACTGGGTGATGCAACTGACTCCAACATCACGAGTACTGAGGTTTGAAGGCCCAAACCCTTAGCAAGCTATAGGACCCAGACTATGAAAGGGTGACAGTATTGCTTACCCCTTTGCAGGCACTCACAAGACTGAGCTGTAGGTCTGCATGCCAAGAAGGAGGCTGAAGTTATTTTAAACATCTATTCAAAACTCAGTTTCAGCTGCCAACACTAAAATATGTAAGTTCTGTATCCTCTTCATCAGACGCCATTGAGCAATTGAAATTATTCACTAATACATATGGCTAAGAAGGGCTAATGTTTCATCTAGCCAGCACAGGGATTGCATGGTTCCTCCACCAAGAGTTTAAACTGTGTACAAACCATAAAATTATGAATCCAGGGAGATTTTTTATACAAATAAATAAGCACTGGGGAGATGAAGAAGGCGCAGATTAAATGCAGGTATGTACTGCACAACTGGCCAATTTGTATAACCATGTGCTGTTCAGTTTGCGATCTTCCTTTCCAGCTGTTTTGTACTAATGAAGGCAGCTACTTTGCTTAATTATTACAAAACAATTTACTGTGAAATGGGCATTAGCAAAATTAAACATGTGGCAGGTAGCAAAGGAAATTAAGTTACATGAAGATGGCCTTTTCGAAGTGTCTGCACTCCTTCTTACATCTCCTCATTTGACCTGTGTTTACTGCAACTATACATGATGGTTTAGGACAAGGGCGGGGGTGGGGGCACCTCCAGAAGTTGCTGGACTCCAGCTCTCCATCAGCCCCAGCCAGTAGGATCAGTGTTCAGATGGTACCGAAACTGTAGTCCTGCAACATCTGGATGGCACCACCTTAGCCACCCCTGGATTAGGAGATGCATGGTTTTGCATACCATTACAGATCTTATTTCCTTCCAAAATTTTATAATCCATTTATCAATATAAAGACTCTAATTAAAGTCATTTCCTTAGCACTGTTTGGTATACATACCACTTGATAGTTCTTTTGCTCGCTTGCTTCAATATTTATTAAGTGCCTTGATTGGAGTTTCATAATGAATACATGGTTCTTGCCCAGAGGGATTAAATCTTAGCACAGACACATTTCCTAATCCAAGCCTCTTAAATGTGTCCCTCTCTTCTTCCCCAAGGTGCTGAGCCTGGCATTTTTCTCCAGCAGTGAAGAGGGAATACACGCTTCGCTTTTTAGGCTGCATATATGCGCTGGTCTCTCAGCAAACATTAAACCCAAATAGCTTGAATGAAGCTGAAAATAGATTCATCTGGGATTTTCCGTGAAAATAAGACACTCACCCAGGCATGACAGTGGGAGGGATAACAAGCATCAGCTTCAGCCGCACCTGATGCAAAGCTTCCGAGAGGTGAGTGAGCAAGTGAATCAGACCCCTGTAACAAAAACATGATGTTAGGTCTAGAAGTAAGAAAACTAAATCGTGGAACAACAACCTTTTCTTTTTTAAAAAAGTTAGGAAATACTCTTCCTTCATTAAACGCTGAAGACACACTCTAATAGGACTTGGCTCTGCACAATCCATTCTCCCTTTAAATAGGATGTAACAGGAGATGACAAAAGAGATACTTTTATTCAGTCTTCATTTTAGGACAGGGATGGGGAAGTTGGTTCCCTCTAGAGTTTGGAGTACAGCAACATCTAAAAGGACCAGGTTTCCCCATCCTGGTTTATGTGATCAAGGAATGATATGCTGTATTTTATTGATTGTATCTGAATACTCCCTTGGGAACATTTGGGTGGAAGGAAGATCAAAGGATGATTGCGATAATTATAATGGTAATGGTAACAGCAGCAGCAGCAGCAGCAAGTGACCACCATTGTACTCTCTCTTCTTCAGGCAAGCCAACTCAGCATGTGGTCACAATGGCCAGTCTGCAGGTCAACATCTTCATCATGAGGTCACAATGGTCAGCCTGCCTTTATCAGGCATAAAGGCTCACAGATCAGTCGGTGTCTCTTCCTGGAGGAAGCAGCAGCAGCAATTTGTGGGCACTGTAATCTGTTGCTCTCTCTCACTCCCATACAGACGCTGGCAGAAGCAGGACCATACAGGCACAGTTTGTCACCAAGGTCAGTATACGCATGAGCCTGTGGGCAGAGACTCTTCGTCTTACTAAGGTGGGCAGAAGCAGTATGTGGGCACAGCGGCCACCTGGTTCTTATTTAAATGGGAATAGGAGTGAGGAACCTGTGGCCCTCCAGATGTTGTTGGACTGCAGCACCTGTCATCATCCCTGACCATTGACGATGTTGCCTGGAGGGCCACAGGTTTCCCCATCAGTGTTTGAGGATTAAGGTACACATGTTCTCTTAATTCCCAGCTCTTTTCTTACTATCTGGGCCTGTCCTTCTTCCCTATCTTCCTCGATAACCTAGTGATTCCATGCCTGGCTGGCCATGATCAGGGGTGCTTGGAAGGCACTCACAGAAAAGGGAAATATCTGCTTGGACTTCACTTTTCCTGGCGTTCTGTGACTCTCCCTTGCAGCAATGGGGAAAAGGAGGGGTGGCAAGTGCTGGGCTCCCTTCCCCTCGTCCACAATTAGCCCAGATATGACATGTTTGCAGTCCTACAACCAGCAACAGTCGTTTAGTACATTGATGTCAGAAGCCTTTTAAGTACTTGGAGGTGTTCCATTAAAGGTGGTTAACAGCCCACGCTCTGCCAGTAAAGCCAGGAGGCAACTGGTTGAGAAGAAATAATTCTCCTACATTTTTTCCTGTCATGTTGCAAATGCATCTACACTTGCAGTAGCCTCACTGTAATGCTCTATTATCAAATATCTAAAAGCATTAAGTAAATGATATGCAGAAAGGGTGGGTGAGAAGATGAGATCATCCTCCACAGAGGGGAATAAAAGAATATTCAGCTATCTCTGCTTGTACTGGGTACCCTTCAGATTTTTGCCATTACCTCTGCTGAAAATAGCGGGTGGTGCTCAGCCAAGTTTCATTGAGAGTAGACACACTGAAATTAATGAACATGACTAAGTTAGGTCCATTAATTGCAATAGGTCTACTCAAAGTAAACCTTACTTTAACACCGCCCAGTGAATCGATGGATTTAGCTTAATCAGCTGACACTGCCTGTTCATTCCAAGAGCAATCTATGGAGATATGTGGCCAACCTCTTCATCAAGATAGCTCAGTCAGTAGAGCAGGAGGCTTTTAATATTGGGGTCGTGGGTTTGAGCCCCACGTCAGGCAAAATATTCCTGCATTGCAGGGGGTTGGCCTAGATAACCCTCAGGGGTCCCTTCCAACTCTGCCATTCTATGATTCTATGAATGGTGGGGAGACACTCTCCCCTCGCTACCTGAGGTCATCAGCTAGCAGCTGTCCTGATCTCTTTCTTGTGCTTTGCAGCTTTGATTGGGGTAACATTTATTCATGGGCTGTGTAGATGAGTATACCCACTGGCACACACAATATAAAACTAAAACGTAGCATCTGCAATCTGGATTTTGCTGCTGGTGTTTCAAGCACTGTTTTCAGGGCACCACAAAACCTAACACCACCTCACGACTAATGTGGGTTCAAAGAGATTTTACACACAGAGAGATAATATTCATCAACTTGACATTGTTTTTTATACTAAACTTGGTATTGAGCAGTTTACCCGATTTATGGCAAAGGTGGGAGAAGGATGGCAGCTTCTCTTGTAAGAAAAATCGCCCGGAAGATTTAAGTACTGGCAGCCTAACTTGTCAAGCCATCTCTCTGGCCTAAGAGCACTTCTTGCCAATTCAAGGGATTAGTGGTTAACCCTCAGACTTCATTTACGTGTACTCCCATTTGTCACCCAAAATAGATTATGTAAATCAAGCATTGCATGCACTCCGCCATCCCCAAACGGCCCTAGCTGAGTGCCCATTTAAAAACATCCAATAAATTATAATGTCTGCTCGTCTCTACAGTAGACTTGAGCGTTTTAAGACCATATTTTCCCATATTATCACTGTCAACTCAGATGGGAGGGAGGGAAATGCACATGCTGCATTGCATTTTTTAAAAGTATAATGAGGCTGGAGCAAACTGTCGTCATGGCAAAACATAGTTAAATATTCATTTTGTCCTTTGCTATTGTCAAATTGAACTTTCGGGTGTTCCTCTGAAGCACATGGCACTTTGAGAATCTACCCAGACCCAATTAAAAGGTGAGGTATGTATTTTAAACTTTATGACCTTGGTTCTCTCATGAATATACAATGCTGCTGGTCCCTCTTTCGCCTTCTCACCCTCCTCCCCACTACACTCTTGTTCAGACATTTCAGGTTTGTCCTTCTTGAAGCTGCAAATGATGCTGACCTCAGCAGAACATTTATTGCGGCTCACAGTATTTGTTGCATTCCCTTTAGAGTCTCAATTTAACTATAGCTAATGCTCAAGTTTGATGGTTGCTGCCCCCGCCCCCACAAATCAAGGATTTCCCAGAAGAATTAAAAAATAAAATGAAAAGATCCAACATAATAAAGCTGTGTTTGTAGACAGCTGACCAAAAAAATGAAACTTTTTTTTTTAAAAAAAAGCAATCTCAGTTCAAGAATGAGTTATTGCTGTTTGTCCTTTCACTGCTCTAGGTAATACCAAGGAAGGAAGGGACTTACAGTAAGCCATTGATTAATAGGTTAAATTTCCAAGGCTCAGACTGAAGTACTGATGTGTCTACAGAAGTTTTGTTCTTTTCTTCCCACAGTTAATAAGGTACCTGAAGGTCAAATGCAGATGCTCCTGCAGCATATAGTGAAGGCAGACCTTTCAAATAAACTATGTGATTGTGGCACCACCTACTGTTGACTATCAGCCTGAACAAAATTATATGTGTGACCTTGTTTGCACAGAATCAAAATCATGCCTGTTACAAATACCAATCTAAAGCATTTTCAATGCACTGAATTTTAAAAAGCAAGTCATTTGGTGGCAGTCAACTAAGTTTTACTCAAGAGTATACTATACCCATTGACATTACTGAACAGAATAATAATAATGTATTACTTGTACCCCACCCATCTGACTGGGTTGCCCCAGATACTCTGGGCAGTTTCCAACAGAATATAAAGAACACGTGATACATCAGACATTAAAAGCCTCCTGATACGGAACACCATATAATTGGTTCTCTCTTTGACAACTGACAGGCAGGCGTTCTACAGGGCAGGAGCCACTACCCAGAAGGCCCTCTCCCTGATTCCCTGTAATTTCACTTCTTGCAATGAGGGAACCACCAGAAGGCCCTCAGTGTCCAGGCTGATCGATAGGGGTGGAGATACTCCTTCAGGTATACAAGGGTGTGGATGTTTAGGGCTTTAAGGGTCAACACCAACACTTTGAATTGTGCTTGGAAACGTACTGGGAGCCAACATAGATATTTTAGGACCAGTGTTATGTGGTCCCAGCAGCCACTACAAGTCACCAGTCTGGTAGCCACATTCTGGATTAATTGCAGTTTCTGAGTCAGCTTCAAAGGAAGCCCCAGTACTAAGTCAGGTCTATGAATTTCAATAGGTCTACTCTGAATAAAACTTAGTTAACTATCACCCAATGTAATCATTTGCAACTAAGGTAAAGGTAAAGGGACCCCTGACCATTAGGTCCAGTCGTGACTGACTCTGGGGTTGCGGCGCTCATCTCGCTTTATTGGCCGAGGGAGCCAGCCTACAGCTTCCGGGTCATGTGGCCAGCATGACTAAACTGCTTCTGGCGAACCAGAGCAGCGCACGGAAACGCCGTTTACCTTCCCGCTGGAGCGGTACCTATTTATCTACTTTCACTTTGACATGCTTTTGAACTGCTAGGTTGGCAGGAGCAGGGACTGAGCAATGGGAGCTCACCCCGCCGCAGGGATTCAAACCACCGACCTTCTGATTGGCAAGTCCTAGGCTCTGTGGTTTAACCCACAGCACCACCCACGTCCCTATCATTTGCAACTAGCTGCTCGCAAAAGGAAAATGGTAAGACTCAAAAACCTTCAGCCTCCAACTGCTGCAACCTAAATACAGAAAAACAATGCACATCCACAGATTGGAAGAGATATGATTAACTTAGCTGTGACAAGAGCACACGCCACAGTTAATCCTTGGGCTCACATATTTCCCTCTTCTTCATGAGCAGCCTTTAAGGTTCCTCCACTTGCACATGAAGGAGAAGGGAATCAAATCTGCTTGGGTTTCTATCCATTACAAACAGCAAAATAAAACCTAGCTTAGTATGATTGAGACTTTTTCATCTCTGAATAGGTTCAAAAAGCAGGGAAACAGATAGGCTTCCAGTTTTACCATTTCTACTTTAATGCGCCGGGTGGGTTTCAAGAATCTCACCTGCGGTTACTCCATGAGCTCCAGCTCAACATCTTGCAATAGACAAGCTGCTCAGTTTTCAGGACAAAAGAAATTGAGTAATGTTGGCCAGTTCTAACATCCACACCCCTCCACCAGGGGAGTTCAGATTTCTCAAGGTCCGGTCTTTGAAGCTTTCTTTACAAAGATACAAGCTTACTTGCAGTTAGTTTACTTAAAAGGCTTCTAACAGCAATCCCTACAATTGTCCAGAATGAAAGCTCATTCCTGTACATTCAGATCTTTCACTTCTACACAATTATTATTAAAGTTTGGAAGCCTTATTCTTCTCTAGATCTATCCACTCTGTACATGATTATTAAATATTGATAATAAGATCAGCAAATCTTAATTATGGTAGAAAATGATCCCTTGGGTGTTTCAGGTACACATCTTTGTTTTCTGTTTTAGGTAGTTGGTAGTATTTGTGTGACTAAGAACTGAACTCCACTGTCTTTGGCTAATTTGAAAAAAATGCTAATGCTATTGTTTACGTGACTACTTATCCCAAATTTTAAAAAGAGAATAATCAGAGCCCAATTAACCTGGAGTTTTCTCCCTTTCAGACCACTTCAGCATAATTACTACCATCAGCATATAAATGTTGGGAACAGAAATGAGATGGCATTAATCCAGGATAAACCTTCTAATAGTTTCAGATCCCTCCCGCAACTTGCGATGGCTAAAGAAAAAATGATGATCCTCTAAAATGATCAGTGAATAACAGAGTTATCACAATACTGCCACTGTGTGGATAAGAATAAGAACAGCACATCATATTTCAAGTAGCAAAATCCAGTTTTGTTTGGGTAAGAAAGAAGAACATAATTTTCCTCTAAATGTAATTATGACATGAACTAGCATGCCCAGGGTTAGAAACAAATAACGTTTGTTGAGACTGTCACTGTTCACATCCAACACTCCCCCAGAGTGCATGGAACCAGATGCACTGATCCGAGTTCAGTATCCCTGCAAATATAACTGCTCTGAACTCAATTTCAAGTAACTAAGATAGATTTCATGCATTCTGAGCCTCTCTCCTACCTTTGATGCACACGTATGAAATACAGAAATGCAGTTCTAAACAAATTTGTATCATGATTCCATGTTTTTAAAACAGAATGATAGCCATGTGGGAATGTGAATTTACAACCTCATTTCCTGCATTATTTGTGTCGCATCTGAACAAATGTGTTATCTTTTTTCTCTCCATAGAGTAGTTATACACATTTGGGTATGGCTTTTTCATATTTCAAGCTTTGTTGAAGCAGGGCAGGGAAGCCTTGTCATTCATATATGCAGATTTCCTTCACCAACTTCCCTCTCTGCACTCCAATGAAACTGACATGATCATCAGGGAAAGGCTTGTCAGCTCCATAGACTCCAGGCAGTAGAATGTGCTAATTCAGAGTCTTGTGTAAATACAAGCAGCATGTCATTGCAGCTGGAATCACAATGAGAAAAAGACAAGAGGGCTGAACTGCTCTCTGTAAGGATTCTGATGGCGCTGGCAAACTCCCAGAAATCTGATGAGTGGCAGCAAATTTTGGGACAGCGGCTTGAATGTTTAAATTGCAAACTTCCACCTATACTCCACCTGTATCATTACAGGGAGCCACAAGAGCGGGGAGTGCTGTTGTGCTTGGGTCATGATTGCAGGTTTCCCATCTGGATAGCCACTGTGAGAACAGGTTGCTGGACTAGACGGGCCACTGACATTATCCAGCAGGTTCTTCTTATGTTCTCATATACATGCAAATACTGCAAAATGCCACAAGTCTTCTGTGACCTCATTCAAAGGAAACCAACCACAAGTAACTATTGGAAATCTTGAAACTTCCCACTACCCTGCAAAGTGGGGTGCTCTAGAGA